AGAGGGCAGCAGGGAGAACATTCCATGGTGGGGGTGTGAGGGGTAGCTGATGATGTTACGGGCTCAGGACATGCAGCTCTTGGATTAAATGTCCTTAATGCAGGGAAGAGGAGCCCAAATGATCCTCTCTGCAGTTCTCTCCACTCTTCTTATGTTCTTCCAGTCTGAGGCGCTGCAGCCTCCACACGACACAGTGAGACAGCTGCTCAGAACGCTCTCTATGGTACTTATGTAGAAGGTGGTGAGGATGGGTGGGGGCAGGTGCGCTCTGTTCATCCTCTGTGGCAGGATAGCTTGGCTTCAAAATGCCTATTTGCTGTCACAGGAATTCAACAAGTTACCTCAAATTTTATATTTTTATTTAACCTGCTGTGCTAAAACAAGGTTCTTAACCCTGAAGCAGCTACTGTCAATGAACAGCTAATCTTAGCTCTAAACATCTGAACTTCTACAGAGTAGATTTAGAAAAAAGACAAACAGTCTAGCTTTTTACAGCTAAGCAACAGCACTAATGCTAATGTCCAATCTAGTCCTTAGCCGAGTTGCTTAAAGCTACCCAAAAGTACCCCATATGAATTGTTCTACCAACCTCATGTATTAGTTAATTATGTTTTTTTGTTTTTTGTCAATGTGGGCTTAAAAGTTAGTTTATGTCTGAATGACTCATAGGTCAGAATAAAGGGTCTCAAATAACAATCAGAAAAGCTACTTGGCTTAATCAAAGATAGTGAAACAGTGGCCATATACCCAAAATAAAAATGAGGTAATTTTAAACAACCATTGATCAGAACACTTAGAGAGATTACAATAAAGCCCAGCTCAATGTAAGCAATTGGGACTTTTCCTCAGCCTTGTATTTGCCTTATACACGTTGATATTTTGAGGACAAAGTGGAGGCGAGCGTAGGAGCTAAAGGGGTTCAGGGTAGCTGATCACAAAGCAGCATGCCTGTTCTGTATATGAAATTAACATTGGTTGTCCTTGAGGGCTTCCTGATTGAATCACACAAGCTTGATGACATCATGAGAGGTTTCAGTCATATTTGGGATTAGGGAGAGTGAGAGGGAGAACAAGATGACGATGGTGGGCGGGGTGGAGGGATGAGTCACTGCTTCACTGATGACTGTCTCTACTGAGTGGTCAGATAATTCAGGTACAAAAAGAGACACAGACACAACACGATCGCCTAATGGTACTCAAATAAAATGACTTATTGGGAACTCACAAAATACACCTTTTAAGAAGATTAAATACAAGGTGCCACCCCCACCCCCACCTGAAATGGAGCTGGCGCTAAACAATGATGAATCCAGTTGTTCTAAATGTAATTTATGAGAAGGGATTTAAAGAACTAAAATCTTTTCTGCTGTCATAAAGTGGTCCCTATGAGACATTAAACAAAGAAGATCTGATCCATTTAAGAGCTGTTTATCCTTGACTTAAAATAATGTCCCACTCTGTAAAACGACTTGTATCTGACTTACTTACTTTTCACTTACTGCGTGCTCTGCATTAAATTGTTGGACTACTCAAAATGCCTGCCTCAAGCACCTTCCTTTTTGAGCTAATTAATACAATTTTTAATACAGGACAAAATAATTGATATTACGGCTGAAACAATTAATCAGATTAATCGATTATTGAAATAATCGTCAACTAATTTAGTAATTGATTTATCGTTAATTGGAGTGCAGAGACTCTTAAATGTGCCTTAAGCCGACAGAGCAACCCAGTTAGGTAATTATACCAAAATTGTAAAAATAAGAAAAATGTGTAAACATTTTGTATTTAAGATATAAAACTTTTTCATCTGTCAATATCCAGGACACCACAAGTGGAAAAGTTTTTAGTTTCCCCTGGTTTAATTTAGTAAAAATTCTTCTTCAAGAAACCTTATGCTATATGATTATTAAGTCTTTTACTGCCATTTTGTATCAAACTTACATTTTTTCTGATTGGAAATAATGTTTTTGAAATATTTTCAGCATCAGCCTCTCACTTTATGATGAAACTTTTCCCTTCCTAGTTGTCATTTCTTTATTGCTTACATAATACAATATTAAGAACTTTATTGACAACTGATTTTGGAAACAAAGGATCAAAGGTTAGCACACAGCTTCAGCTTGAAACCACTGATCAGTGACAGAATAAGCCTAAAGAACATCTCCAGGATTAAAGGACTAAAGTTTCAGCAAGATCTCAAAAACATAATCCATCCTTTTATCTCTAATTAAATTGATTTATCCTATGGCGTCTCTACAGGTCTGCTTACTGTAAAAAGCTGCCCATGTCCTGACTTAAATAAAGAGAGAACATCACCCCAGTTGTAGTCCTTTTATTGGCTCCCTTTATCTCATAGAATAGACTTTAAAGTAGTTATCTTAGTCTATAAATCACTAATAAAAGTCCACTTTGCATAACCAGAACCAAACATGGAGAAGCAGCTTTTAGTTTTTAATGCTTGAGTAATCAGGAAGAAAACTTTGTTCCATCTTTCATTTCAAGGTTAAAAGCCCATTTATTAAACATTGCTTTTGATCTATTTAAACTGTTAAATTAGACATTATTTTAAGTCTGTAGTCCAATATTTCCTTTATCTGGCTCTA